TATTTTCTTTAATAATGTTTTGAACATCAATTTCAACATTCTGTTCGATAACTTTTTCAATGATGTTTTCAAAATTCCGGTTCTTCTCTTTAATAACATTTCTAAAATTTTCTTCAATTCTTTCTTCAACAATATCCGTATTATTAGTTTTCTTAATTTCTTCTTCGACAATATTTTCTAAATTTTTTTCGTAAATTTTAGACGTAGCTTTGTCTTCAACAGACACTTCAATCTCTGCTTTTTCAGAAATATTCTCAAGACATTCCTCTAAAAATTCTACACACTGTTTCTCCTCGTACACCTCATTTTGACTATTTTCAAATCGAGAACTTTCAACTACTTTATCTTGTTCGATCAAAGGAATCTCAATACCATCGTTCAAATTTTTACTACTTTCAATACCCTTCGTTTCCATGAAAAGTTTCTCAATCTCGTTGAATTCGCTGAATCCTAAATCCCTCTGAATCAAAGTCTCACTCGTCCTATTTTCTGTTTCATTTTTCCCTTCAACCTCGTTTCCAACGAATTCTTCTTCATTTTTTGCAATAACTTGAAAACATTCTTTCAACGATTCTGCACGACGTTTCTCCTCTTCCTCCGTGTCCTTCCGAGCATTGTTAATTTTAAAGCTCTCAGCAACTTGGTCCTTGGTCAAAGGCAACTCGATGTCATCTCTTTCTTTCGATTCGTCCAGACTCTCGTCGGAGTCACTGTTGTATTGTTCAGCAGATTTTGTTTCCGCAATGAGCTTCTCGAACTCGTTAAATTCCATCGACAAGTTCTTCAAAGCCTCATTCTTTCTATTTTCGATCATTGCTTTACTTTCGGCGATCCTTTTCAGTTTCTCTTCGACCTCTTCCTCGGTCTTTGGACAATCTGGTCCCGTGATTTCCGCCAATTTTTCCAAATACTCTTCCGGAGAATTTAATTCCACGAACTTTGTTTCTTTCCCTTGTTGGTCGGAGCAAGCATTTCCTGTCAAGTTTTCTTCGGCTCTTGCTTCTTTTGTAGATAGATCTTTCGTTTCATTTTCGTTCGTCGTTGTCCGTTCATCTTTCTCGATAGATTCTTCCTCGTCAATTTCTTCCAGAATCAACGATCCTTTAATCTCTTTATTCGAAACTAAACTTCCTTTCTCCAAGGTTGCTTCAAACTCAGGTTTCTTCATGCTGTCTCTGAACTTGAAGTATGCAGAGATATTCACATTGGGCGAAGAGTAAACCAGATTTCTCTCATGTTCGTCGTCCGAGTCGCTCGAGAAATCGAAACTGTCCGACATTTTCTCCTCCTCGTTTTTCAGTTCTTTGATGTCGATGAAATTATCTTCGATGCTCTCTTCAACCTCCTCTATTTTCCCTCCTTCTTTCTTAGTCTGTATCACTTCTGAACCGCAGTCGGTATTATTCTCATTTTTATCATTTCCAGAGATACCTGGATCGCGATTTATCTCGAGCAACGAAACTTTATCGGAGACAGCGATGAGATTGTTGTTTGCCGTTTCATCGAGATTGTCGAGCTTCCTCGAGCAAGCATCTTCGAACGATCGCTGACAGTCAGAGTTCATGCAAAAGCTGTCATTCTCGTCCAGAGTTATCGGCTCGCCTTCCTCAGCATCGTCGAAGATCAATGTGTCGTCCATGTCGCTGTCGCTGTCTTTCTCAGCTTTCGTCGAGTTGTAGTAAGACAGATTTTCGCAAGTTGCGTCGAAGATCGTGTTACAGTCGACGTACGACAGCCAGTTACAGTCGTCCTCGTTGTCGACTTCCGGTATGCATTCGAGGGTTGATTTGTTCGCTTGGTCGTCCGAGACGCTTCCGTTCTGTGATTCGAGGCTCGTTCTCGTGAGAATGTCTGAGGCGGATAAGATTTCGAAATCCACCGATGAATCTTTTGGTATCTTTAAAGAAAAGAAGAAAGGCTAATTAACTTTTCAATTTATTATTTTCGTGATGAAGCGAAAGAAATAAATTGCCTCCCAGTTTTCTGGATAGTGAAAATCAAGCATCAGAGAATTTTAATAATTTTAATTTGGAGAATTGCAATAATTCTTAGTCATTTTTCGATTCATAAAATTATCATTTGTTTAATTAGTTAATCAAATTACGACTTCACTCTCGTATATTGTAGATATGTTTTCGTGTTTTTAGAAAGATACTGGTATATTACTGCTTTCATAATAATAAATAATTATTTTAATAATAATTAATAACTTTAATAATAAATTTTTATAATGATATTTTACAACAAAATTTTATGACCACTATAATTCTGAGCTTATCATGTATATCGATAACAAAATACTTTTATTTAACTTTTTCACAAAATATAATAAGACAGGAATTGAAAATACGTTTTATTTTGAATAATTAATTGTTACAAATTGAACTGAAATATGAATGTATCTACTAATTTCAGTTCTTGAGACAATTTTATAGAATTTTTATCTTAATTAATTGTTTCGTATTTTTTTTTAAATTTTACATCAGTTTTAGAAAGATTTCTAAAATTCTAATATCAATTTAAGAATAAAAATCTTGTGTTTCTTATCATCTATTTTTGTCTTATTTTCTGTAAATAATATGTCATTTAATATATACCATTTAATGAATATGTTTAAAATAAGGTTTCAAAATTAAATAAGAAAACGTGAATTTCTCCAAAAGAAATTCTAACATCGTCGAAAAAAGAAATTGAAAAAAAACAGTGAAACATCAGCTCAAACTTCATCACTGTATGAAAGTTAACCTTTTTCAGTGCATCAACTTGTCACATTTTTTTGCACATCTTAGAAGTAATATTAGGAATAAACTATGATTCTAACCGGTTTTTTAATTTCTATTTCAGACAAATTAGTACTACTTGCTGGAGCGTCGAGTCTGCCCTCAGTCGAGAGTTTCTTCTCCAAAATGGTTTGGAAGTCGCACTCTTCTTGCATTTTTACTACTAATCTACTGCTATCTACTAATCCTGAATATCCGCAATGCAGAAGTGAAAAATCCCGCGTAAGTCCTTCGAGTTTGTTAAAAATTTGGGAAAGCGTATTTTGACATGACTTCTTGATAATACGAGAAACTCGCCTTAACAGCGTTTGTTGCCTAGGTTCCGTTTGATCGATATAATTCTTTCAGCGTTTTACACATTTCAAATTGTTCCATCGTAGCTGGAAGTAAAGTTATTTTATCGTTACTTTATCAATATAACGATCTGAATTTGTACCTTTGTTAATTAATTTTCTTTGACTCGCGGATTTTCGGAAACTTCGAAAAATCTCGATACGATATCTTTTTTTTATAATATACAAATAATTGAATTCTAATATTAAAATTTAAATTATTGGTACAATTATCAATATTATTAATATATATTTCCCAGTTTCATTTCACAATAAGATAATCTAATTTCTAAATAAATAAGTGAAATTTCTCCAGTTTGTTTTTCAACAAGTTTCTGAAAAGCATAGTCAGTGATATGCATCTATACGCTATATTGTTGATATGAAAATCCAAAGACTCAAGGAATGAAGCATGAGTTATCTGACGTATTAATGAAAAATTATTCCAAATCGACGACGACACAGTCATCGATCGATCTAACGATCCACGCGATTTCTCGCGATTTTACTCGTTTCACGATCTAAGACGTTCTGCGAACTTAAAAGACCATTGTTTATCTATATAGTTTATAGGGTATCTGAATCTCGCATCTATTCCCCTAACATTTTGTTTTTACTTTTGTTGCGTCTGGATTGTTGCGTCCCCTCGTCGAGTTGGTACTTGCTTTTCCAGCAGACGATAATGTTCGAGAATGAATGCTATCAACATAATTCAATGGGGAAGGCTGAACGCCGATTTGCTAGCGTCGCGACGAATCCGGATCGATGGAAACGGGAAATCGGCTCGGCCGCGAAGCTTTCAACAAGTCCGACCTGCATCTCTTTTTTTCTCTCTTTTTTTTTTTTCTTTTGCCCCCTCAAGACGATTCCCGGTCATCTACTTACCATGTTTACGACGCATATCGACGTCTTTTGTTTCCCAAACGTTCACAATGGAGGCTGTGGTCACGTTCAATGAATTTGTAAGATATTTCTCGATATATGACTAAGAAAAGTGGTAACCTTGAATATTAGTCTAAATTAGTTAACCATTCGCGGTCAATCTGGGTCGTCTCGACTAAATGGCCGTTTCTGTCTTTTAAAAATACCCTGAATACATATTCTGAGAGACTCGAGTGAAATCTCTACATCGATATACGATCGGTGGTTAAATCAAATATTTGAAGGAACAATTGGGAAAAATAAAGATTCACTTCGAAGAAATTCGAAGAGCGAAAGACGCTGGTCATAAACGACCCGCAAAGGGTTAACAGTAAATTCACACGGTATTATCAAATCTTCTAAATTGAAATCAGAAACAAAAGTTTGAACAATAATTTGTTTAAATACGTTATTATTGCAACAGCTTGTTTGGTAAGAAATCACATCTTCCAAATTTTCTCGATGCGTGAAAGATGCCAGTTTACAGGTGAAGATGATACATTAATACTGATACATAATCTCGTCGTGTCTTCAAATTTTTCCATCAGAGTCTCGTCGTAGATCTTCTCCATTCTGAAATTGAAATATTCGTTAGAATTCATCTTGCAACTCGTTTGTTGTTCTGTTGAACGTTATCTCGTTGGATAGAGGAAAAGAGTAGCCTTAGTTGAATAATCGACCGCTTCACTGGATATTTTCCATACGTGGAGGTGATGCAGGGAAGTTCTGTGTGTCATCGTGTATACATACGATACATATGAGATCTCGTTCTTCGCGGTGACAGGTAGATAACTCGCTACAGGGTCGAGGGAAACGGGAAATTACACCACAGCTCCATATTCGAAGTCTTCTCGTCGCAGACGCGCCTTCCTGCGCATTTCTTCTTCTTCTTCTTCTTCTTCTTTTTTTTTCTCCCCCTCCTCCATGCGTTGCCTACCGTCGCTATCTCGAAACGTGTGGAAATTAGATACTCGGCATTAGATTATATGCAATCGAACCAGTGACATCTATTCCGGGACCTTCCTGGAGAAGCGAGCGGATTCTTTATACATTTTTATATCGTTACAGCTCGACGAAAACAAGGTATTTTCCATCGATCGCGACTGTCTGACACGGGAAATTTTCCCTCACAGCGAGAATCGTCACTGTTGATAGAGTACTGCGTGCTGATTACGAATCTGATGTCTCACTTTCAATTATTTCTTATGGGCGCGTCTTTGAAGTTCGAATTGCGTTATAAATTATTTTGCATTGTTTGTAATGGATTAAAAAGACACAACGAAATCAAATAGTTGAAATACTGTTGCTGTCACACGAATCGTTCACAGTTGCTTGCTTAAAAGTATTTAATCGACGGTTAATCTTTTATATTGAGAATAAATTTGCTTGATAATTCTTGAGGAAGCTTAGATGGTAAAATTTTTTTTTGGAATAATTAATTTGTTAGACAATATGATTGTTCTACGAATGTACGGTGTCGTGCATTTTTTAGATAAAAGAAATTTTATGTTCTACAATCTGTTATTTATTTGAATTTAAATTTTAAAAGAAATTTAAAAAAATATATATTATTTTATTGGACTTAATCTGTCGCTCATATATTTTATGAATGTCTATAACATTGTGTGTATGTGTGTGTGTGTGTGTGTAATTAGAGAAGGCTTTGTACATAATGTCGAAATTTATTTAGCATAATTTTAATAAAACGTAGGAGATGAACGTATTTCTAATTTACAGAAGTAATTCACTTTCATTTGTTAACAATTCTCTCTACTAAAGTCATGCAACGACGAAATAAATTTTAATTAGACTGACGGTGATTTCTCGAACCGACTGCAATTTCACTTTGAATTTTGCCATTTCCTCTTTAAAACGAAATTCCCTGAAATGGATAATATATTGAAT